AGTGAGTGAGAGAGAGAGAGAGAGAGAGAGAGAGAGAGAAATCAATCTTTCTACAAGAGCACCACATATGTAGATCAAGAATGGGACAACAATGGTAAGGTAAATAATGTCATCAGAAGCTGCTTCATCGCCAAAAAGGCCAGACATCACCAGAAGGGAAGACATGGAGACAAGAAATGCCAAAAGAAGACATTCTTAAGAAAGAAGGATATTTTTGGATTAAATCCGCATATGCTAATTTAAAAGAATATATGCAATTATAATCATAATTAGACATTATTACTATCATTTTAGTGGAAATACATTACTGCTCAACATATTACACAAAACTGAATAGGCAACTACCTTGGGACAGAGGAACAAGGTAAAGATGGGATATGAATAAAATACATAAATAAGGCAGAGAGCTTAATACCCTCTGAAATGCCTGTGCCTTGTGTTTCCTTCACTTTCCCGAAAGTGAATATATATAGGAATAAAAAAAAACCAGAAGTCACTGAAGAACTGTTGAAATATCTAGGTAGGCAACAACTAGCTGTTTTAGAGGAATGGTATGAACAATGCTTTCAGAATGCCCACTTCTGGGACAGATGACAATGACAACGACAATGACCAGGGAAACTAACTACGGGGTCCTCCCTAAAGGAGGACATATGGCTGCCCTACCTCTGACTTGCCTTCACAGGGCCACCATATTTAACCCTCAGACAGTGTACCTGTAATTCTCTGAAAATTGTAGACCTCTTGGGGCTTTAAGTTTAGCTACATATGAATGGTTCCAGATATTCATGTAGACAAGTATTTTGTGCTGTAACTGTAATATAATAGCCTTAGAGGTTCCTCACACCCCTATAAATTCTTTTTATTACTACCAGCATCCTGTGGTGATAGCAGAGGATATGTGATATCAAATTGCCAGCAAAGGAAAAGAAAATGTGAATGAATCTTTTTGTGCTGTTGTCCTTCCAATGTAAAGTCAGCACATTTTTGGATAAGGAAAAGAAAGATCTTGCTGAAATGAAATAGAAAATAGAAATTCATAAATATGACAACAAGGTTCCACTTGGCTTCAAAAACTGTAAATATAAAAGAGGTCACTTGTTTGTTAGAGTATTACTATTTTGTTTCAGTTTGCTCCCAATACTTGGTAGTATTTCATTCAGGCTTAAACACTTGGTGAACTTTTACATCTCAAACATGGCTATTTTTCAAAATCTGAATGCTGAACTGAAACTATGTACACTCTCATTCAGGCAAGGCATTAAAAGGTCTGTATAATCCCACTTCCCCTGCCAGCACTCATTGGACTTCAATTCTGAAATTATCAGACACTGATTATTACTCTGGATAATAATGCTACACAGTCGGTAGGATGGGTAAGAGCTAGAACATGATAAATTGAAATACGTACATATATTTGGTCTGTCTCTGCATTCTAATATTGTTTGAATGATCAGAGATTAGTCAGTATAGTAGTATTTTTTTTAAAAAAAAAACAAATATATTGTGGCAACATGAAGTCTGATATATTTATTTTGGTATGAACCTGTGTGGATTTGAATCACAGCATCCCACAGCCAGTATGCTTAGGACAAGAGCAGCTGGGAGTTTTGGGCCTTATAGTCCCAGGGCTTCCTGGGAGATTCTCAGAGTTATAATCCAAATCTATAAAAAGTCACACTGTAAATCTAAATTTTTATAATGTCTAGAATAGATTAATCTGTTCACATGTTTGTGTCTAGATGGGGTGCACAGCAATTTTCAGTTACATAAATCTACAACAGGATTCTGGCAGTTCTTTCTTTCTTTCTTTCTTTCTTTCTTTCTTTCTTTCTTTCTTTCTTTCTTTCTTTCTTTCTTTCTTTCTTTCTTTCTTTCTTTCTTTCTTGATTGTGGCTTCAGTGTAACCTGAAGAATTTCCATGATAACAACGAGTATATGTCTGTTAGCACCAGCATTGTTTAACTTTTATGTTAAGTCATTAATAACTGACTTGAGCAGCAATGACAATTATGTGTCCCCTTATGTTGGGCGCTAAGAAACTGTCAATACTCATGTATGCTGATGATACCATTCTTCTATCACAAACACAACAAGGGTTAAGGAGATTACTGAAAGCTTTTAATCATTTGGCAACTCAAGAAAAGCTTAACATTAATTATCAAAAGACTAAAATGTTAGGATTCTCTAATAGATTTTAAAAACATTCTTGGCAAATTGATGGACATTCTATAGATCAAGTATAGATTCAAATATCTAGGCCTAAATTTTTCTTTGTCTGGCTCCTGGAAAATTCATAATGAAAATATCAAAACAATTGCCACCAACACAGTCAACTCCCTGCTAAGGTTTTACTGGGGCAGAGGTGGCAGACAGATCCCTCCTGCCCTAGAAGTTTTTGAGGCTAAAGTCATCTCTCAAATTCGATATGGTACCAGATCAGAAATAATATTTAGAAACACCCTAGAACAAATATCTACGGACCATTCTAGGCCTCTCTTCTGGAACAGTGACCTCCATTCCCCAGTTGGAAGCTGGCCTGCGGTTGGCGAAAGCCCTAGTACACATACAGTGGACCCTTGACTTACAGACGGCTTGACTTACTTTTTAAGTTACAGACTTCTCTGGCTGCAAAATTTAGGTTTGACTTGCAGACTGAGATTTGACTTACAGACCAGAAAAATACCAAAATGGAACAAAAGCGGCCTGTTACGGGATTAATCGGTTTTCAATGCACTGTAGGTCAATGGAGACTTGACTTACAGACTTTTTGACTTGAGAACCGCCTTCCAATACGGATTAAGTTCTCAAGTCAAGACCCCACTGTACGTGCAATTAAGTACTGACTAAAACTGAAAAAGGGAATTGGCTTGGGATTACTGCTGACAGCTTTCAGAGATATGTCAAATTTTAGCCACAGAACAGCCCTATCTTGAATAATTAAATTCTCCAAAT